GGGCATACATATGAAGGAATGTGGAAAACATAATACCGTTCTCCGCATGTGAAGCCACTCAAGAGAGCCAGCACGCTCAAATCGCTACTCATTTTATATTTTTCGATAAGGGACAGTGTTTCGGCTCCGTTGGAGTCCATCACCAGTCAATCCGTAATGTTAAGTCATCTGCTCATTGTCCATAAATGTCGGTATGTTTTCGATCAAAGCAGCTGTAGAAAGATGTCACATGACGTTGAGCCAGCTTTGGGAACTATTACATGCTTCCTAAGTTTCCATGACCTTATTTTTGGTTTGTTACTTCGGTGACCATTATTAGCCAAACATGTGATAACCTATCAGGCTGTTGCCCTGGCCTTAGCAAAATTCAGCCCTAAGACTGGCCGCAAAAGTAGCTGTCCCTCCTTACGACTCAGGTCTGTGAGGACATACGCCTTCTCATTATGTTGGCCACATTGAATTCAACAAAGCTTGTGATGTACGCCATCCCTCAGGATCTATCTCTCACATGCCTAAACTGTCTGATAGATCTGATAGATCGCCTAAACTGTCACGGCGCCAGACCTGCATCGTAATGATTCTCTGAGACTTAGCCACTCTCTTGTGTCTCTTGGACGCTTAAGTCACTGGTGGCGGTCACCGGATCCTGTGTGGCTGGTTGCTTTCCAAGCCAGTGTAGCTTGCTTCACACGTACTGATAACGCTCTTCTAAGTCACTGGTGGCGGTCACCGGATCCTGTGTGGCTGGTTGCCTTCCAAGCCAGTGTAGCTTGCTTCACACGTACTGATGACACGCTTCTAAGCAAGTAAAGCTCAGGTTTTCATACAGTGTTAAGCGTCTGCTCCACCAACGATCAGCAGTCTAGTCATAGTTCTCATGCAAGGCATGATATGATACAGAGGAGGCCTGGCCTGCTATCGGTTTTAATAGCAAAGGGATTCGGTAAAAAAAATTTATTTCGTCCGGCTGCTATTCCTGTCTAGAAAATCCATTCAGGTAACAGTTCATCAATGTTTTCCGATTCCCTTAGGCCGTCCGGGCAGTCCTGGGCGCTGACCCTCAAACAGTCGCTGAAGGTCACGCGTAATTTAACCGTCATTCAGTATCTGAGCTAAAACACTCTTGAAGGTGTCCTCCTTGTTCAGGATGCCCTGTCGTAATTAACAAACCAAGCAGCCTAGGTTACCGTATAATTCACGAACAGCCCGCGGGAGTCGTACGTGGGCCCTGATTGACTGATGCGTTGAAACCATCTCCAAAAGTTAAGCAGAACCGAATCAATGACCTGGGAGGCCATACTGAATCAGCCACACGGTAAAGAACCGAAAAATTCCCGTCGTTGCATGTATTCAGCGCTCCACATCCTAGCACATGTTGGTTAGTTAATTTACTAAAATATTGGAATGGAAATCCAGACAAATAATTAACTTGTCCACAGCGTAGGGACGAAAGTAACTTTGTCTCCGTTAAGTGCAATCCGAAGCAATCAAACCGGTAGCTTGAAATGCGCACGGAATGAATTATTTAGGGAAGGGTCCAATGATCAGAAAATTCATCACCTCGCTGACAGGTCTACATACTTACAATGATCGTGCTTCGAATGATTAATTGAAGGCTCGTTTCGTTTGAAAGCCAATGAAAGGAGCCATCGTACTATCCAACTGATATAACTCACTCGGCTTTCAAGGAGGCTTTCCGACCTAAATGTGACGCATTATGTAAAGCTGTTGAAACAGAATGAACTTTAATGCGTGTTGGCTGTTTCAAAATTACATTTAGAGCTATGCACGTTGTAAACAGCAGTTATATACTGAATCACGGAGTCAGTGCTTTCGTATTCAATTTTTGTCGTGAATGCTCATGCTTGTTCCTAAATGAAATGAACGGTAATTTAGAGTACATTGCAGTGTATGTTATTCTTCATCGAATCTGAATCAGAACAATGCGCGTTGCAAGCAGCTAGCGACGTGCCCAATCCAAATTCACGGCTCCAATTATCCACAAAGATTCGTGCTATTACCAAATTACTGACCGATGCTATAAGAATAATGTGCAACGTGCATCATTTCTCTCACCAAATCACATCAGAAGATACGTACATCGCAAGTTAACAGCCACGGGGTAAATAAATTGGGTCCGTCATTCCTGACCCCAGTTTTTCGCAAGCGTTTTGGTCGTACAACTGCTGATGAATCGAAAGGTATGTTTTACGGCAGATTTACACCAATAATTGCGCGCGCTACAAATAGAGTGCCACTTTCAACCAGCACAGTCGCTTCTTTCAAACCTCATTTTACGTGAAGACTCGTGCAGGTTACGACTTTAGCTGATACCTGTCGTCAGGATCTGGATACATGACTTGATTAGGGCTTTCTTGCACCGCGTTCATTCCTCGCTTCCTCCCTTAAAGGAAGCGTTTCACATTTGAAGATATTGAAGCAAGTATCAGATTCCATATTTATTACTATTGGTATACTTTGGAGGAGGAAAAGGTTTTTCTGGACAGCACAATTCTCGGTTTCGTGAATATCTTTTTCAGCGCGTCATTTTTTATGACGTCATCGTACGTTGCACAACATTGATTGAGAGCCAATTGACTCCCGTTATGCCTGGAAATTGCGCTCATGAACGCCAGATGTGAACGCCTCGACAATTATTGTTTTTTGGCCCGGATCGCCGCATAGCTTATGGAATGACAGGATTTGAATGACGCTCTTATGACGTCATGAACACCAAGGTGACTGTCGAATACCCTCCCCAATACACCTTTCCCCATTTTCGCGGGCGCGTAGCTCAGAAAGTACACTAGCTTTGATTTTAAAAGCGGCAGTATTGTTGACAGCACCGGCAGGTCTTCAAAACGGCCATTTCGGTTCGAAATCCCTTAGAAATGTGGAACACTGCCTTGAAAATAGAAACACGCTCATGAACTTAACGTATTAAAACATAATCCACATTCGCACATCCAAACACACGGCGCTTAGTTACGTGCACGCAGTACAACTCCTCTTGGCGATAGTCCTAAAGATATGGCCCGCATGCAATGTAATCTACCCTCCCTCCCTGTCCCAACCCTCAACCCCTCTCCACGCGTAATAATACCCATCCGGCACTTGGCATGCTCGTTCTGTCCGGTTAGTTTCCTTATACTGGTAATTTACCAGTAGAGTTTTCGCACCTAGGTGGCGTCTGACAAATGCAGTAAAGGGAGAGGGGGTGGGGGAGGTGAGGAGATATGGCCCAAGAAGGATGGAAACGGAGATCAGACTGCAGTGTCTCAACATATCAAATTCTCATTTCTGTTATCGTGCTGATCATTATCCATGCGATGGTTGTCATCTGATCGTCTTTGCTCGATAGTTATTTGTTCGCACGCTGTGCCATTTGGTCACTTCCCATTCTGATTATTTATGCCTGTCTATGTTTGTGCTATGCATATTTCGCTTTTGCATCATTTTTTTCCATCTTGATCCACGGTAATGCATTGGCATTAGGTCTGTTTAATATATTTTCCATTCGATCGTTAGTTTTTTATTGTTTGGTGCCAACCAGGATAGCCCTACCCGTTTTATTAATCTATCTCAGCGTGGCTCTCAACTAAGCTGATTTTACGAAAATTTCATTTCGGGATTTCAAGCGCGCACTTGATAAGGTAAACAACTGCAGCACATGTTGGCCCTCGGCACAATATTGTGGCTTCACGCAAGGCTCTAACTAGGCAGAGTTTCGTCGCCGGGCTCTACATTTTAATAAGTTGTGACGTTTACGGCAATATTCATAGTATTTACCTGCGATCAAACACCCTTGAAACCTGTGACTCGGTGGTATGATCTATGAACTGGAAATTCAGTAGCTCAAATAATTTAATTTGGAAACCATTTAACTGTAATTGCCATATGGCAAGACTAGGAAATGTGCAAATTTTTCTGCGAAGCCATCACTCACGTTTGGCTCATAAGTGAAATGATTTATAACCGAAGCTCCCCCCCCCCCCCGAAAGGTACACCATGAGAGGCTTCCATTCGATAACTACCCATTCAATAATACACCATAACTACTCCTATTCGATAGGCGGTCCCTCTACGTCGTCCTTTCTTTTGGCTCGGCATGACCTTGGTTTGGCATGACCTTGGTTTGGCGTGACCTTGGCCCTTCGTTTCAGTCTGAGCGTACAGTTTACCGATTTAAAACAACGCCTTCGAAAAAATTAAAGCCTTGCTGGACGAAAATGGTTCGCCGAAAGGCACAATGGTGTCTTATCATGGACTTCAGTAGTGCGATTATATTCATAAGTGGTGATCGCACGCCATCACAGCCCTCGAAGCCATCCAGTGTGATCACCCGACATCGTCTCAATAGCTTGATGCACTTTGTCTGTTTGCAGTTTGTTCGTGGTATGAGCACCCTCTTATTTCCAACGTCACAGAAGACCATGCTCCACATTTCCTACCCAAACTCTACCCACAGATCTTACTGGCAGACTTGCTCCATGCACTTAACCCACAAACAATCTCCAGATTATTCGACATTGGATCTAATCTACTGATAGAATCCCCCCACTCAGCTAAACCATTCTCGACACACATGGTGCCTACGTCATACCGTTATCGCAAGTAGGTGCATACGTCGCTGACTGAAACCTCGACCATTCGAATGGCTCGTGCTAACTGTCATTTTTGGGTATTAACATTGTTCGAACAAAACAACAGTCGTGCGCCCATAATTCATAATTATGATTATTTCCAGGCGTACAAAAATACACTTTCCATCAAGGCGGAGAAATTAGAGCTCACTGTACCGGTGTTACGCTTCTTGTTTTGCGTATTTTATATCACCTTCATATTATGTACCAAGGGAAATAATGACCGACAGTAGACCTCCACCCGCGACACACCTTCATATCCGGACTACGATGCTGATGGTGCGACGTGTATAGAGGTCTGTGGCTGGATTCCTGTTTCGGTGACACGCCCTGTGTGACGACCTGTGTGCGTTGCAGGTGTTTGGGAGGTACCCCTCAATTCGCACTACGTTGACAACTTCGATGGCGGCCACTGTCCGTACCTGGATCAGTGCGTGCTGTTCAACTACGAGCCGGCAGAGATCCTTGCCTGGTTCAAGGAGGATTTCAACCGCCACTACGACCAGAACCGCGCGCCCTACGTCTTGTCCTTCCACACCAACTGGTTCAACGAGCAGAACCTTATTGATGGCCTTAACATGTTCCTGAAGTGGGCACAGGCCAAGTGAGTAAGCTTGAGATTGAGGGCCTTATACCGTAGGTGTGGTGCAACATCTCGACACAACAGTCTCATATGCCTTAACACAGTGCGACTGGTTTCTGACGTTGTGATGCCGACAGCCAACAGATCTAATTCATGTTGATCTTGTGGGCTTAGTGGCCTGCCGCAAACGAAAGCTGCAGTCAGGGGGCGTAGTTTTTTAAAAATAACCTGGAACTCAACGGTGCAAAAATAACGAAAATTACCCCTAAAATAGCCAGCAATCTAGTTATTCCTCGGATTTGGCCCACTTTCTTCTCGAAGTGTGGGGGGGGGGGGACTGGCACCCAAAGGAGGGGCGGGGCGGCTAGATCACCTCAGCTGAGAAAAAATTACACCCCTGATTGCAACCTTTCTGAATCATTGAACGTAACTTGGGATCTTAGGTCGGTTACTTAGCACGCGGCGCCCTGGACCATCACTAGAGCGTGTGTCCGAGCCACAGCACCATGGGGCACCACTGGGGCGTGTGTCCGGCCGCGGCGCCGTGCACCCTCACTGGGGCGTGTGTCCGGCCGCGGCGCCGTGCACCCTCACTGGGGCGTGTGTCCGAGCGCGGCGCCGTGCACCCTCACTGGGGCGTGTGTCCGAGCCGGTGCGTGCGCCGCTGCCGCAGGGACGACGTCTGGTTCGTGACGACGACGCAGGCGCTGCTCTGGATGTCGGACCCGGTGCCGACCAACCAGCTGTCGCAGCTGGACGACTGGGACTGCCGCAAGCGCAAGGACACGCCGCCGCCCGCTTGTAACCTGCCTAACAGCTGCCGGGTGGCGTTCCGACCACCGGCCGATGTTGAAAAGTCGTGGGTGCCCGGCACCAGGTGAGGGCTCTGGCGCCGCGCCGGGCGGCGAGCAGGGGTGCGCCACGGGAACGTTGCCTGATAAACCACCTCCTCCGTTCGCCCCGCGTAGGGCGATGAGATTGTGACCTTGAGGAGGTGTGGAAACGGTGATGAGATGATGATGATCCCATATAGGTTTCCTCTTCGCTCATTCCACACCAAATTTGTATATTTTTATGCATTGTTGTATATTTGCGCATGTGCATTATATCAGCTTAGTTGTAGAGCTTTGTATCAAACACGTGATGAACCGCTGGTCGCAGCAGTTTGGCCGGCCGTGGTCCAGCTGAGCGGCGTCTCCAGTGCGCGCTGCCGGTGACGGTCGTCGGCTCACACCCTGACCCGCCCCGCCCGCTCCTTCCAGGTACATGTCCACCTGCCTCAGCTGTCCGAAGCAGTACCCGTGGCTGTACGACGCCGACGGAGACGGCGGCGCGGAGGACTTCTACGAGCCGCCCGCGTTCGAAAAGTAGACGCGCCCCCGGCCCGAGGCTGCGCGAGAGGTCACTCTCCGCCGCCCAGAGGTCATGCCCCAGAGAGCGCAAGGGTCACGCGGCGGCCCGGCGACGAGGTGCAGCTGGCGGGTGCCGGCTGCGCCGCGCGCGCGGCATGACTCTGAACGGCGTCGGCGCGGCGTGGCACGCGTCCAGCGAGATCGCTTTGTCTCCGAGCAGTTGTTGAGAGCCAGAGGGTGACTGTGCCAGTGCTGTGCACTGTGCCTCTGAATCGGTCCTGTTGCAGCACACGTTGATGTCGTCAAGGTGATCTACCTTTGTTTTTTTATCTCTATAAATAAATTATGGGTCGTCTCATCCACGTCACTGCGACTGCATGTTTAATGTGCTGTGCTACACATGAGTCACCAGATCGGAAAGCGAATGAAGATAAACGCAGAACGACCAACATCGTGCAGCACAAAGGCACAAAGGCAGCACAGCACAGCACAAATCACACCGTGCAGCACAAAGGCGGTGGTGCCATCACAATGCCTTACAGATAAAAAGTAACTCCGACTTCAAACAACTATTGCCACATCACAAGAAGGGAGTACCTGTAATGTTTGCTGACGCCCAGCGACGTAACCTTGTTGGTTGCGTTAGTGTTAGTGAATGAATTACAACAGCGCCTGACCCAAACATTGGGTAAGCGGAGGGCCCTGTAGCAGTGTTGGTGAGCATTCAATGTGTCGCGGAAGTTTCGCGATACGCGAAGCGAGCGCTTGCTTACGCTTGGAAACCCCCGAAAACCCTCAAGCTTTTACTACGATCAACGCCCGTTGATTGAGCTCCTCGTGCTTTGAAAACCGACATCGCGCTTGTGAATACCTCAGCTTTGTGGTTTCACTTCGCTGATCGTTGTCGTGTGTTTTGTCTTTGAAAGGCTATTTCCGCGCAGCGTCACAAGAAGGCCAAGGGGCTTAAGTCTGGAAAAATGAGGAGAGGAAACGTCCGTTTTCAACGAGACTCACGCCGTGAAGTCGCCGCTTCGAGCTGTCCTAGCAGTACAACAGTAGTCCTAGCAGGATGCAGGAACTTTTAATACACTGCACTGAAAACCAACGAAATGTCCTCAAAGACGTTTCGAAATATGTTGCTCTAGTTAGGCACGAAGCACGTCCGGTTGCCCTATCACTCCGACTTCAGCTCCTTGAACTTCTAGTGGCGTGAGCAAAGGCCAGTGCAGGCAAAAATAACGCACACAACATCCTGCAGCTGAAAAGCATATGATCGAGGCGCTCCCCATGACGCAGAATCCCTATGATCTTCGGCATTAAGAAAGGCGGCGTTCAAGTGTGCGTAGGGGTCTCGTGCGTCATGGACCGAACATTGTCATCCAGCAAGCCGTACTCGCTATTGCAGCGCCCAAGGGTGGTTAAACGTGCCGACTTAGTAGATCAAGTTGGAGACAACATTGCATATTTTTACATGACGCTTGGTGCCAAAAATGCTTTCGACTGGAAATTTTGGCGACAGCCACAACAAATATTACAGCGCGCATCACTCGACCTAACATAGGGACTCTATTATAAGACATTTCGTTACAAAAGCTTTTTCGTGAGGGCCCTTCACTTCACATCCATGGCACCAAGGCACATTTTTTTAAGTTTCATCCCAACCCGGCGAAAAAATATATAATGGGATTTTGGTGGTCGCTCGACTCGGTGACAGATCGGCGATGAATCAGCGCACTTCCTATATTGCAGCCAGTCAGCCGATTCATTGTTGTTACCAGCCTGTCCCTCAGTGTTCCAAACTAGATAGGAAATATGGCCATTTACCTGGCCACGCGAACGTGTTTTAATGGTTGCGATGCAACTGATCTGAGGTGGGTGGTGACTTTCAACGCACTGTCACTTCGCAAGCGCCATTTGCATTGCAGTTTCATAAATACCTGCTCAGGTTTATTTTTGGGCCTTGTTGACTTAAACCATGCCGCGATTGAGCACCCTGTCCTCAGCGACGAGAGACGTTGGCAGTTTACGGTAAGCCGGCGAGATGATCCGATCAAGTTAGGAACCGATCTATCCAGACTGTCTTTTCAAGGCACGGAAAAGGCTGTTGGCTCTATAGCACTCGTAAGCACTCAGACCCCCTGCCTTTGATATGAGCCGTGGTTTCGGTGTTGGAAGGTGATGACAACCCTCTTGAAAGGAAATGACGAGCGGTAAGGATGGTTCTGAAAGGAAGTGTCCTACCGTTGGAGCAAATTTTAGAAACATGATCTGTCGAACTATCAGAACCTGCCATTAATATAAATAGTTCAGGGAGCGGAAGCACATCAACAAAATAATATGCGCAGATCTAGCCTGCGTTTTAACTGAACCCTGCATGTGAATACTGAAAAGAATCAATTGAAACCAACATAAACGGCAGACTTTTTGGTGGTCGGCAAAAGGCATCCAATCACAGAATATAATGCGTTGCTTTGAGTGCGTTATTCCTGATTTCTGCGACTAAAATGTTCAATGCCCTTATATGGACCTTGTGCAATTCTGCAACGAAAACGGGGGAAATTCGGCCGAAATCATCGGACACAGCAAACACTCTGCATCATGAATGTTAATATTTAAAACACCATCATGCTGACCCTTGCCGGCATGACGAATCCAAACCGGGCCGGCGCCATAGAGGGGGAGGGGAGGCAGCTGTTCCTCCCCTCACCGCCAGCTGGACCCTTTTCGGCCAGCCTGGCGGGTGGACGAACTGAAGGTTCTCTCAGTCTGTCCCGGTACCGTCTCAGACTAGGCAAGGGTCTTCCTGCACTACGTGCAACCTTTTTCAAGCCAATTGAGGACCCTACCATGCTAGATCAGCCCGTTAATCCCTGATGAATGCCCTCTTGGACTGGCGGCCGGCTGAGGCCCTCAGGCCGGTGAACCGGCTTATAGGGCCAACTGAGCGGTGGCAGAATGAGGCCATTTCCAGCTGAGGTAGGCTCATTATGAGCTGTAGAGGGCCCATTCCTAACTAAATATGATCAATTATGACATATGGAGGATGCCTATTTCGAGCTGCGGACGGCCCAGTCTGGCATGCATTCTTTGCCCATTCCCATTCTGCCCATTCTGTGTTTTGAGTTTTGATAGGCGCATGGTTGTCAATTTCTAAAAAAAAGAGTGGACCAGAGTCTTGAAAGTTACCATTAGGGACAGGTTCGAAAAAACTTGTCGTGTATCATTCACTTATGTTCTGTTTTTTTGGAGAGAATCCATCATATATATATATATATATATATATATATATATATATATATATATATGCTTTTACTCCATGTTTCTGAAGCTTCTGTGGTTACCAACAGCAACCACAAATGGAAGCCTGACAGTTAACATCATCTTGTAAACGTGCTTCTTCTTGCGTAGTTGGAGGGGTGCAGAGGACAGCCGCAATAAGCTCACATGTAAAATTAACCCCTCAATCTCACGCGTGAACGAATTGATTCTGAAAGAGCTTTGGAGCTTTTATTTCACAATGACTGTTGTCGTACGCCAGGCGCCCAGCCCCCAACGTTCGTTGCAGCGGCCAACGCCGCTCGGTGTTAAAAAAGGCTTGATGCCGAGGAGTGACTCCCCTTTTAAAGCCGATGTGATAGTGATAATGATGATAGATAATGATTCTGATACAGATAGTAATACGTTTAAGACCTAGTGCACCATTGCCAGGTCCTTGGTCAGACACTTGCTGCACCATTACCAGGTCCTAGGTCAGACACTTGCTGCATTGCCAGGTCCAAGGTCAGACACTCGCTGCACCATTACCAGGTCCTAGGTCAGACACTCGCCGCACCATTACCATGTCCTAGGTCAGAGGCTTGCTGCATTTCACTGGCCCAGCGTTCCCTTTTTTACTCATATGCATTGAGAAAGGACTCAGAGGAGCATTAAGGGGCTTATGTTAGCATTGGAGGGGGGGGGGGGGGTCAGGCCTCCGAAAACGTACAAAGTGACATCCAGGATGAACAAATTCGTTTGTGTTGGCCTTTTTTCATTTGTAAACTCATTTAGATCCGCCGTTTTCAACTCTAAGGAAACCCCTTACCTCAGTTGGCAGAATACCAGGACACGTTGTATTCCCCGGTAAGGGGCTTAAGGATCGTTCCGTCGTCACTGGGATTTTACGACGCCTTCAGCTGCTGACGCTATATTGCGTCGCCTGCCTCTCACCGTAGCAGGAAGGGTGGGCCCGCCGGGAATCGAGCCCCGTACTTCTGGTTTCCCATACGTAGGGTCGTTCCGTCCCAGCCCGGGTTGCCTACCGGCTGCCTTTCTGACGACACGGAGGCGAGGATCCCTGGTCGATTGGAAGCCGTTAAAATCAATTGCAGGGATCAATCATACATCGATCGCCTGCCTGAAGCCGGAGTCCCCTAACCCGGTCATTCGGACCTGGAATGATGCAACACCCTTATTGAGGCAAAAAAGTCCCCATTGACTCAGGCGTCCGATAATTGGTACCGAGGCTATAGTTGAAAATGACGAGCTGGTGGCTAAAATCGGATTGAGAGTTCTCTTTTCTGTTGTGAGGCCCCTGACTATCACATGGCTTTACACTGTCACATTGTAGACTCCCATCATAAATTATCATATCCCCCGTCATTGCCAGAGGGCCCGACCAACCAAGAGGCCCTCCAGCATTTGGGCTTTAGTCTATGTCCCTGTTCAGCAAATGCTTGCTTGACCTTTTGTAAGTCGTAGGTCATGGTAATCAAAATAATACAAGACTGCGTTGAATTCTGCATTTGAACAAGCAACAAAGGTTACGCTAGGCAGTATGTTTCTAAAAACAAAGTGTTGACCTGGGTTATTTCGGTTCAGTTACCTATTCTGATCTTAAAAGTTCGTGGAGGGTGTATAATGCGGTTCCTGTTATCAATAAATTCGAAACCAGCGCCAGAAGCTACCCTATACAACAAGCCCTATGGCAATAAATTAGGCTGGCTTTGACCTTGGTCTGACATTCATACCTGACCCTAGGCCAATGTTGTTTGTTCATTAAATTTTGTGTCGCCTAAGGAAGTATCTCAGAGACGTATGGTTTCGTCTAGCACCCCGATGTTGGATCAGATTGAACGATTCCCTAAAAATTATCTTTGCCCAAACCATGACCTGACTCAACCCGCCGTAGCTCAGCGACCTTACAAAGTGTCTCTAAATTTTTAACGCCCAACGATCCGCTAGTTAATTGTCTACAGCTGTACAAAATTTGGCGCAGCTACGGCGCGCCGTTCGGAAACCATTCCGGAAAAACCTTCGGGGGCTCAATTTGACCCCACCCGGACACATTAAACGCGTAATCAGAAGCATGTGTTATGCAGGAGAAACCAAATA